AGAGAATAGACTCTAGTAGACTTGAAATGAGTATCAAAGAATGATAAGTCTCGTTTCCGACTAATTAATACCGATGGGAGGCTGAGAATATATGGCGTCAGACTCATGAAGCCATGAATCCTGTATGGCAGATTGGAACTGTACAAAGCCATGGTGGCTTAGCCACTTGCGCTATGACTAAACTTCACAGTTGCGGTGCCGTGCGCTGCAATATAACAAGCGGTAAAGTGTCTCATTTACGCCGCTCCGCGTCTGCGAGTGCAATCCAGAGCTGTAACTCGAGAAATAAACAATCTCATTGTCAGGCGACGTGTGCACCACGTTATTTCCATTTTTGCGATAAATGCCTATAGACGTGGTGTTCACGTCGCTCGCGGTTTGAGACAAAAGCATCTCGACGTGCGTGGCACGTCTTTTAGCGCAAGTGGTTAATCATGATCTGGTAGCGTTTGGGATCTTTGGTACTTGTACAAACCTCCCTCAATATGATTCGGTACGTAGAGTTGCTAGGCGATCATCTCCATCCATTTATGTTGTCCTGTCATACACACGAAAATGGAGTATCCCAACAAGATAACTGCACCTCTCACAGGTTGGCAACTGCTTGGTTGGATTAGCATTCTTCTGACTTCTCTGTCATAAACTGGCTACTTAAAAGCTCTGACTTAAATACTACTGAGCATCTTTCGGACGTTTAGAAGAAAGGTTTAAAGCCTCATCACACAACACTAGCGAGTCTTCCTAAATTATAGACAGGTCTATCCGATGCTTGGCAAGCCATTTCCGTAGAATGCTTTTAGAAACTTACTGAATCTATGCTTCGTCATTTGGCAGCCATTATAAAAGCCCTCTAATTCAGTGGCACTTCAGTATCATTCTTCTGACCTCGGTTTTTTGGAAAAAATCGAAATTTTACTGAAATAACATGCCAATCTTTTTTTCCATATTTCGATTCGACGACCCAAATTATGCCAAAGTGCCAAGTTCTGTAAAAATCGAAAGAGTCTATTTTAAAAAATTAACTCTCAAAATTTTAGCTCCTCCATATTAATTGTATTTCGTATATATTTATTAATATCTCGTTTTTTATTAAACTTGCTCGAGTCTTCCTTTCACGTTTCTAAATTTAGGTGAATTTCAAATGAAATTCGCCCATTTTTCATTATCAAAACTGAATAAACAAAGTTAAACACATGAAACCCAACACATTTAATGCAAAACAACTAGCAATATTTAGCAACTATACAAAGAAAATGCCTTACCTTACGTAGTACAGTAATAATTTGTTTTCAATTAATATATTTTTAAAACCTCAAATGAAAAATACCACTCAAACAACGCAAAGAATCATATATTACCCACAAACAGCACGAACAATAATTACATTTTTCTGTAGGAAGATCTTGGGTACTTTGTAAAAGTTTTTGAGTAAAGTGATGGCAATTTTAAACAATGTTTGTGTCAACGACAGATGATAAGAAACAAGCACAGCGATTACAATACATTAGGAATCTGCAAATGTCGACAATTCTTGAGCTGATTTACAAATCATCGTAACTTGTCATGATGCACGTGATAAAGCATCGCCCTTTCTCTGAAATCCAGTTGTGCGATTCTCATTAAATGAATTTTGTTCATACACAATACACTAATATTTAAAATTTTCAAAAGCATTAGATAATTAATTAAATCAACGGGCATCTTTCTTATACATAGAAATCTAACTTTGCTTAAATTGAGCTAAATCTGTAACATGCTTTATTTGCATAGTAAAAAAATCATTTAAATTACGGACATTTCAGGAGAATATTTTATCCGCTGTAACGTATTTGCGTTGCTACGCTACCAGCATAATTCCACTAAGAAATGTAAATTACCGCAGACGATTATCCGCAAAGAATATCCGCAGACGATGCGCGCGCTTAAAAATGTTTTTGCAGTTATTCTGTAAGTTTTGACTAATAAAGTTGGTTGTTCGTTCAAAATGGCGAGATTTCTTTAAACTTCATTACACCGTATTTGTATTAAACGTTAAAAAATTGATGAAGAATATACAAATCAGTTCATATAGCCAGAGATGGAACCCGTGATGTAATTACTACTGTTTAAGAGATTCTGACAACTAGGCTTTACAGAGTAAAGCTTAAGAATGAACATGAAGTTCACACGGCTGACATATGTGAAAGTTACACAATATTGGGTTTTCCTACGCAAACAGTTCACGTTGGCGTGTTTAATCATATTTTGTCAAACGAATTTTGGCATCTGAAAAACAAGAGACTTGCTTTAGAGCACTGTGTTGTGATTTTTGTTAAAAAATATCGTTATCATTAAAGGTGTCTGAAATGGAACTATCAAGTTACCAGATAAGAACCATCATTTACTTCGAGTTCTGTTGAAAAACGTCAGCTACAGAATGTCACCAAATTCATTGGCACAGCTTTATGTACTAATATTGAATCATATGGCTTTATGAAGGCTTTGGTACCGAAAATTCAAAAACCAGGACTAGGACATTCAAGAAGCAGAGTTCAACTCTGCAGAGCGATTGTGGAAATACAAGTTCAATTACTGGGTCCCGCAAGAGCTGACTCGAGCAGATAAGGACAGACGTCTTCCGGATTCCACTAATCTGCTCGAATATCAAAGCAAGGACAAAATCCTGGACCAAATCTTCACTTGCGAAGAATAGTGGACTTACTTCAACAACACAGGCCGAAAAGGGGGTTGGTCTGCGCCCGGTGAACCCGTTGGCGGAGTTGCGAAGCGCAATTTGACTAACAAAAACATCATGCTTTGTATCCGGTGGGATTGCCGTACTATTAACCGCAAAGAATATCCGGAGAAAGGTAAAACTCTCGACAGTAAGATGTACAGCGATATGCTAGTCCGTGTTGACGCTGCTATCAAGGAAAAACGTAGAATTGAGTTCCGACGCAAAAGGTGGTGTCCGCCAAGATAATGCAAGACAATATGTGTCTGCATTCACCGGACTTTGTACGCACTATAATGGGATATTTTGTCACACCCACCATATAGCCCCGACATCGCTCCTTCGGACTTTAACCTTTTTTCACACCTGCAGCTACGCCTTGCTGGTGCTATATTCCAAGGATGAACGAAATGGGATTGATCTGCTTTTAGGCTAGCGGCCACCAAGTTTCTGGGCTGAACGCTTTGAAAAACTCCCAAAACGTTGGTAGAAAATCACAGATTTGGTGGTGATTACTACCCGCACTCTTGTGTTTTCCTTTCTAACTTCATTAAGAACGTTTTTTGGTGGAAAACTTTCGTTACAATCAGATATAAAAAGAATGCAATTATTCAAAAATAAGAAAACTAAAAATTTAGGCATGTCTGCTGTTTATGAAAGAATTTAAAGCAAGCTACATTACATTACTTAATTTACAACTTAAAATTACACATAAGGTAGCGATCGAATTACTATAAGCACCCCTATTATTCAGGAAAGCTTTATTACATGCGATAGATTTTACATCGTAGGGACAGGGTAAAGTATTATTTGCATAACCCAGCATTACACATTGGGCAACTCATATTTGTTCTTTTCTCTCAGTTCATTTGTGTACAACAAGCACGATCGGGCTTTCTATTTTCCAACTATTGGAAGATGATCCCCAACATTCAAGAGATTCTAAGTGCTTTTTAACCCAGCAATAATTTTTAAACTTTTTGTCGGACGTATATTTCAGTAATATAAATTTTACGGGTTCTGGAACAGTTCAGTTGTTTGTTCCTGTTTCTTGACTCGAACGACGTCAGAGAGACCACGTCCATTCTAGAGTTGAGTTGTTTTCTGCCGGTTATTTCAGCGGAATATAGAAGCTATCGAAAAACAATTAAACTCGGAAATGGGTATGTTTTGTGACGTCATTTCCGCTAAATTGTAAGGATCCTAAGTTTTACTAACGTTTATTTTACTTTAAAACTGTACTATCACTTCTTATTTTCTACTTCCGGAAAGAATTAAATGCTTTAACTTGTTTATGCAAATTGTCTTGCTAACGCCAAGTACTTAAGTTGTGGCTTTTTGCCAAGAGAGAGAGAGAAGGAGTTTTAGGAAGCAAGCCGCTTGCCACTGTTGTTTTACGAGTTTTCACTCGGTTGCTGGTTACCTTCAAAGCCAGAGGTTTAGCCCTCTTGATAATTGCAGACGTATCGTAGTTTTAGCAGCTCGGCGTACTACATACGTACCTTTCTTTAAATAAAGGCCAATCTTAGTGCTAGGCACTTGTATACTAATTCAAAGTTAGCTTTTAGCTAGAGTTTTAGTTAATAGTTTTTATATTCTTATGTTCAGACCACAAGTGGTTGGTATTCTGTATCCCGAAATTCGGAAATACCTGTAAAGTATTGAAAATAAAGGGTTTCGTACACCCTTCCTGCTTGTGTTGTCTACTTCACACCTTCTTGAACATAGCTTGAGTAAGCTCCCTGTTCCTATTCAGGACCATTCATGTGTCCAACGCAAATCAAGAGAAACACAAGTCCTGACAAAATAATCAGCAAAAAACAACTCAACTCTAAAAAGGCGTGGTCTCTGACGTCACTCGCATCAAGAAACAGGAATAAACGACTCAGCTGTTCCAGAACTCCCAATCAGCAGGAGCGAAACAACTCAACTGTTCCAGAACCCGTAAAATTACACTACTTACGTTTCTTTAGTAGTCAAAGGATTAAAAGATAAGCATGCAGCAAAGCTGATGGCTATTGCTTTGGCTATCTCTGGTAAAAGTCCTTACTGTATTATACTAAGGTAATAAATAAGGTATCGTGCTATATTTCTTTTATTAATTGTAAGAGAAACTAATAATCTATAAGCTACTCTTAAAAACAGCAAAATGCATTTTTTCGTGACCTAAAAAGTCAGCATGCAAGGGAGCTTAAACGCTGCTATTTTACAGTCAGCACCATGCAAATGTCGCTCATAGCGCTGAAGCATACCAAGAACGGGGATACCTGTTCCTCGTACTGCTTACCTGGGGGTGTTGGTATAACATAGGTCATCCTGCATACAGGAGCACAGCCCGCCATGAGGGAAAGCAGACGATGCAAGTGCCCTGCAAATAGCAGGATCCATTCGTTAGAAAAAAAAAAAAAAAAAAGAAAGAAAGAAAGAAAGAAGAGCACCATCATCTATAATGTAGAAATGGTGCTAAAAAGCGCAAAGGAAATAGGAGAATTGGGAAAATAAGCAATCATCACTTGCTGAAATCGAAATGCTAGGGTAAAGGAAAAGAGGGCTAATTAAAATATACTTCAGTATAGTTATAAAATCCAAGGGAAAACTATTCGCTACATGACTATACCATGCTAAAATCTTAGGCTAAGTTAGAATTAATACTAATTAAATCCATTCCAGTGTCTAAAGGTCAGCTAATTTTAAGCATTACAGTCAAACTCGGTCATAGGGAGAAAAGAAGAACTAATCTGAATGTTATTTGACACAAATATTAATCAATTTATTCTCTCAAAAGTTAAGAACTATATCAAAATTAAGGCTGTTAAAAAATATAATCTATAAATTTACTTTGTCATTTCTCTTCGTTTTCCTGCAAATTAATTTTTATCAAATTTACTTATATACATCCATTTCGATGAATAAAATTTTAAAATATCTCATGTGGAACACTACATGATTTCCTTGTAAGGCCTATTAAATTATGAACAATTTTTGCTGCACTTCATTTAAACTTATTTCCTCGAATTTCATTAGCGATACATTTCTCATTCAGTCAATTCAGCTCTCACTTCTAGAGTTTCTAGGTAATAACAAGCCATTTCACCAACGTGCAGAAAGACAACATTTTCGGTGCACAAAATTTAAAGTTAACCTTCCGCCCCACTGGTAAAAAGACACTGAAGTCTATTCACTAACTGACTTAATTCAATACTCTACTAAAAGTTTCAAATGTTAACAAATGGCTAGCGTTAGGCCTAGCATCACTTTTAATTGTTGGCTAAGTTTTTAATTGTTGATAATTCTACAACTATTGCTCTCAGATTCACTAAAGACATAAAAACCTTAACCGGAGCATAAGAATAACATAATCTATTCACTTTAAAAGCAAAAAATGCACAATTTACCAACATATAAGAATAAAAAACTGAACTCACCGAACCAGGTAACACAATGAGAAACCACACACACATTTTACATTACTAAAAATTTACAAAATAAGTTTTTAAAATAGATCTAACAGATACCAGCTTAACACTCAACTTTGCCTTATATCAGCGCCCTCTATTTATAAAGTTAGAAGAAACACAGTACTTAACATCATAGTTTGGCATGCTTCTCCACTCTCCAAATACAAATATAGTTGGTAAGTTAAATTAAAACTTACTTTTTACTTGCCTTATTTAGTATTATTTATGTATTTTTTAAAAATAGTATCTAGATTCTTTTTGATTTATTTCCATAATTCGTGTTATTCTAGTCTTTACTTGCTATTTTCTCTAAACTGTTTAAATTTCTTTTTAGTAATTCACAACATTTGGTTTTGGTTTTGAATTTTCCTTGAACCCTTCCAACATGGATGACGAAACACGAATTGAATAATTGAAGAGTTAGGTTTGGAGGCAACTTTCCCCTTGATAAGTCTGTCTTCTGCCTGCTCAACAATTATTCACTTATGCATTTTTATAAATTTTTAGGATTAAAAAATTTATTGGAATTATATATTATACGTTTATTATACATTCACAGATTTTGATACTTGCACTTGATTTACATACGCTCTCAGAATTTAAATGATATTGTAGATTAGTTTGCAGCAATAATTAATCATTTATTTGTAATTCAAATTTCATTTAAAATTTAATTAACTCTAAATTTGCTTTTTACGAATAGAGAATGTTTGTTAAATTCACACACACACACATATACGAGGGCTATCCAGAAAGTAGATTACGTTTTGGAATAAAAAAATAAACAAAGTATAGGAAACAAATTTTATTATATACAGATGAAAGCCACACTCAAATACTACTTTTCTACATAGTCACCATACAAATTAAGGCATTTGTCGTAGCGATGTACGAGCTTGGAAATTCCTTCGTCGAAAAATTCGGCCGCCTGCGCCTTCAACCACTTCGTTACCTCTTCTTGCAGCTGTGCGTCGTCATCAAAACGCTGCATAGCCAGCCACTTCTTCATTGCTGGGAATAGGTGGAAGTCGCTCGGTGCCAGGTCGGGACTGTACGGCGGATGAGGAAACAACTCCCACTTAAAAGATTCAAGAACTTTACGAGTGACATTTGCCGTGTGGGGCCGGGCGTTGTCGTGAATCAACAAGATCTTAGAGCTCAACATTCCTCTGCGCTTGTTTTGAATTGCTCTTCTGAGTTTATGGAGAGTTTGGCAATACCTTTGAGAGTTTATTGTAGTGCCTCTTTCCAGGAAGTCCACCAAAATTACACCTTTTCTGTCCCAAAAAAACAGTCGCCATCATCTTCCTTGCCGACATTGTTTGCATGCATTTCTTGGGTTTTTGGGGAGAACTTGTGTGCCCCCACTGCATTGATTGCAATTTCGTTTCACAGTTCACATGTTTCACCCATGTTTCGTCACCAGTAACGATGCGATCGAGTAAAGAGTCACCATCCTTATGGTAAGCGTCCAAAAAGTTCAACACTGCAGCCATTCGCTGATTTTTGGTGGTCCTCTGTCAAGATTTTTGGAATCCATCTTGCACAAAACTTGTGGTAACCAAGCTTTTCGCTGATGATTTCGTGCAACAAACTTCGCGAAATTTGTGGAAAACTCAAAGAAAGTTCCGTTATTGTGAAATTTCGATTTTCACGGACTTTAGCATCGACTTTTTCGAGAAGTTCGGCGGTCACTATGCTGGGTCTCCCACTTCGATCTTCGTCGTGAACATTGGTTCGGCCATTTTGAAATCTTATGACCCACTGACGCACTCCACCTTCAGTGATAACGTTGTCCCCATACACTTCACGAAGCTGCCGATAGATTTCTATCGGTTTACAGTTTTTTGCAGTCAGAAACCTTATTACTGAGCGCACCTCGCAGGATTTTCAATTAACGCAGACATTTCAAACCGTCACAGTATCTGAACGGAGCACAGCACGAACCTCTCACTAGCACGGCTAGATGCAGACTGAGCTGCGCAACGCTCTGACCCCAAGATGGCCGCGCTAGCCCCGCCCCTAGCGGACACAGACGGAAACGTAATCTACTTCCTGGATGGCCCTCGTATATATATATATATATGTAATAATAAAATTCCATAGTCAAGAAATTTTAACTGTATGTTCTTTTCATTTTTAATGGCGACGTTCTCTTATTTGAAAGTACGTGGAATTAAATCCACAGCCCCGTAATCAAGTTGTTTTCCCGCCTTTTCTACACGTACAGTTATAGAATATTCTGGAAATATTTAAAGCGAACTAGGATTGGCTGACGAGGCTGACGTCATTTCTTGGAAGCTCCACCTTTCCAGAGGCTATAAAAGGACTCGCAAAAGGAATATCGGAGCTTTTCCTTAAATGTCACGATGCAGTAAACTTCATGCAAAATGTTATTAGTAGTTCTTTTTTATTTACTCCGGATATCTGATTTTGTAACTGCTGTTTCTCCTGGCCAATAATAAATGGATCCTGTTTTTTAAACTTATCGTTTGATAATTTAAGCTACGACTAAAGCTGGTACATCACATATATATATATTTGTATACGTTTTGTACGACCGCTTGCAAAGAAAAAGAGAGATGCACAACTAGATGTTATAGTTGCCCCATACACAAAATTTCAACGTTCTACGACTATTCGTTTTTGAATTCTGCGAGATACATATAAACGTCATGAAAACATTTCTTCTGAATCCATTAAAAATCTATTCTACAATCCGTTTTGGAAAACAAACATCCATTTTGGAGAGTCCTTTGTTCTATCCATACGTACAGATGTCTCCTTCAAATGGATTGGTAAGCGCTTAAAATGGATACGTACTTTAGTTGAAAAATGATACCCGAAATTGTTTGCGATTATAATACTTCCTTTACTTAGTACAAGGAAATAAAAACATTCATTTTTGTTACTTTCATTACGGTTTGAAAACATTTGTTACTCTAGGCTAACTGGTAATACGTGAATCTGATATGTTATTGTAATATCACATTACTACAGAGCTTCAGAAACCGCTCAAAATATCTCTATAAAATAATTTTTAGTTCACTTTACGATTTTGATTATGCCAACTAATTCTCTCTTTTGTGCATACTTTGTAGTGAAATTAACTGTTAATTATTACAAGACTAGTAATTAGCTTCAACAGAGAATATCTAAGATGCTATTGCACAAATGAATAATGAAAATTATTCGTCTGCTTTATTCTCTAACACGCTGCCTTTCATTTACTAAATATAGGCAAGAAACTTCAGTTAGTTTCGCTAGACAATCGCCAAGAATTAGCCATCAGCTTCGCCAACGCCTTTTTCCTTCGATTCTCTTCAAAACTAGGGTAAGGGGAACTAAATTCACAACGGTTACGGCAGAAATTTTTACACTTCTCTCATAAAATCGTTAGAAAAGAAATGAAATATTATAATCTTAAATTTCTTCATGATAAAAAAATATTAAATATTAATAAATACGTGCTCTCAAGGCATTTGCGATATGACACAAATGCTCACATTTCTCATGGATTATTTTATGTACTACATTTTACTTTCATTTTCAGTTAAAAAAAATAATAAAAATAAATAAAATAAAAACTAAAATACAAGGTTACCTCAAGAACTGAAAAGCTATTTCGGAACAAACTTCAGGCAAACCAGTAATATATGAATATTTTTGTTTTTCTTGTTGTTGTTCTGCAGACGATAAAAATAAATTGGAAATCGATGAAACCGAGTTTGACTGCTCTTATATTAACCTATGCTCTTTAAAGACAATACTAGATAATTAATTGGTTTATTTTTGATAAATGTTTCAAGCCCTCCAGGAATTTTGTTTTTCAAATTTTTGACCTATTTATGGGTAAAATAAAACCAACCGCAATCAAATATTACATATTATTAATAAACAGTTTTCCTTACGCAATTATATTATTTTATATTTTTTACATATTCTTCACTAAAGTAAACTGATACATTGTTTGCAAATATTTTAGTGGCTGATTTATATGAATCCATGTTCAACTAAATTAACAAATATGACAGAAACTGGAACTTAGAATTACTGAAATTCGGAAATATTATTCACAAGTTCAAGCATACTTGCATAATTTAATAATTATTCATGAATTTATGCACATTTTTAAAATCTATATTCTGAAATTCTCCAAGCAAACTATTATAATTAACTATTAAATAAGATAACAAAATTAAAACTATTGGTTCCTTTAATTAAAATTACTTTTCCCCGCTTAATTACATAATCGTGAGTCAGACCTGATGAGGAGATTTAAAGCATACATAAGTTTTGTAAATTCATTTAATTATACAGTCAAAATAGCGTGTTATTATTACGGCTTGTTTCTGCTATTAAATTAGCTACACATACAGAAAATGCAGTGAATCCTAACTAGCCCTCGTTTAAAGGAGTTTTATTTGAAATTTTTTTACCGATTGTTATTTTTTTCACTGATCCTTTACTCAATTCCTTGATTTTCTTTCCTTCTCTAAGGTTGTTGCAAACTGTAGCGTAACTGAGTTTTAAATTCACATGAAAAGTTTGGCCCACAAACGATAAAATCGCTGAACACAGGTAATTAAAACCTGGGTTCAATTCCAGGCGAACGGGCTGGCTCCATGGGGCATTTTCGAGGTTTCCCCCATGCGTAACGTGTATACGAATCAGTTTTCCTTAGAAAGTCCTCCCCGAAGGCATCCTTCTTTTAGGCAGACATCCCTAGTGTGTTTTGCCATAACCAGCTGAACCAAATTATGACAATTTTACATGAAATCGTAATAATCGCGATAACTACTGAATTTCTTGAAAGAAAATACTTACTCGAGGAAAACATTTTCGCCTCAGTTATAACGTAGATCTTCCAAGCACAAAGCGTGAAACATTTGTATCGACAGATGGATTTTCAAACAATAAAGACGAACGTTTCATTAAACATGAAGAAAATAATATTTATACAAACTTTTTAACACATACGGGCAGTTACTTAAATTAGTCTTAAATTCGCACGATAATTCTTAGTACTTGTTATTCAGTGTTAAAAAAGTATTCATATCAAAAACCATAAGAGAGAACTTCAAAACCTGAATTTTGGCACATTTTTCTGAAATAAAACTATCTTACTCAGTACACACATACATATGTATGTGTGTACGAAAATAAAACTATCTTACTCAGGACAGTCATTTAAGCAAGCATTTATGCAAACAAATGGTTTATATTAAAAAAAAAAAAAGGCTGATGTGTACAACATATAACTTCCTTGTACGGAATATTAAATTACACGTTTTTTTTCCTGCATTTCATTTAAACTTATTTTCTTGAATTTCATTAGACATATATTTCTCATTCAATTTATTCATTTCTCACTCTGCGGCAAGGCAAAAATACATAAAAACTCAAAATGTTTTCATTAAAAATTGAAAGATATAGAAAAACATAAAACACCAAATACTATAAAAACAATTTAAAAAAAAAACAATTTTTACAATTAAAATTACAGTTTCTAAGCAAAAACAAGCAATTCGGCCAGCAGACAAGAAGGCAGATTTTTCGGTTCACAAAACAAAGTTTCGTTTTGGTCCCACTCGGCAAAAAGACACTGAATGTGCAAAATGAAATAATTCAATATTCTGCTAAGTTTTAAATTTAAACAAATGTGGTAAAAAAAATTAGGCTTAGCCGCAATTAAACAACTTTTAAATTGTTGATAATTCTACACATATTGCATGCAGATCAACTAAAGGCATAAAAACCTTAACCGGAAGATAAGAACAGCACAATTCAATCCTTTTTAAAGCAAAAAATGCACAATTTACCAATACTTAAGAATAAAAAACTGAGCTCATTGAGCCGAGTGAGTGGGCATATAGATATGTTTATATACCTTTGGCGCTGCCGACTGCAACCAAACAGGGAGGTGCACAACTGCATGTTATAGCAGTACAAAATTTCAACGCTCTGAGGCTACTCGTTTTTGCGTTATGCGAGATACATACGTGCGTACGTACAGACGCCACGAAAAATTTTCTTCTGAATCCATTTTAAATAGGTTTTATTATTCGTTTGGGGCAAAAGAGTCCTTTATTCTGTTCTTAAGTATTGATGTCATGCAAAAACATAGTTAAATTGCATTAGATAGCAGTTAAAATAGATATTTTCGTTGAAATACGGTACCCGGAATTTTTCGTGATTACAATACTTCCTTTCCTTCGTACAAGGAAGTAAAAGCTAATGTTATCTTTACTAGGTTTGGTTTAGTTGGTTATGGCAAAACACTTGAGGGCTATCCAGAATGAGGTCTAGAATATTTGAATCACTATCAGTGTTACATACTACACTGAAGCACAAATGAAACTTGAACACAAATGAAAGCCCTGCCAAATCACTTCGCATTTATACATTTTCTACGCGATACTACTGCCATCTGTATATTTGCATATTGCTTCCCATGACTTTTGTCACTTCAGTGTATATACTATTTGTTCTGTAAAAATAGAAACTACATTTACGCAAATTATAAAACCCCTTTCTTAGGTCACTAAATTTTCAGATACATTTCAATATATTTTCGTGCATAATCATAAGATCGTTTCATTGAAATAAATTTGAAAAAGAGGAGGATTTTTTTTAAACGGAGTTCCATTCTAACGATATCTGTGTTTCAGAAATAACATAAGAATAATATTCAATTTGTTTTAAGATTTGAAGAGGTATTTATAGAAGCTCTTGCATACGACCGACAACTTTCTTTGACGAAATTTTTAATTTATATAGATTGCAAGTATTTATAACATACTTTCTTAACTTATGTGTCAGACATATACTCAAGGACATTGCCGAAATAACAATGGACATTGCCGAAATAAAAATTCAACATGAATGAAAAATATGATTTGAGAAATCTCACTATGACAAAAGCAGACTGCTAATCAGATGAGCAAAAACAAACGACCGAATTCCTTCATCGATTGGCAACAATATGAGTTTCCTTCATTGCATCAATACTGAAATATTTAAGGTACCTTAGCACATTATGAAAGACATATTTAAGCGTTTTGTATGCAGCATTTTCCTTTCTCTACCAAGGAAGAACATACCAGAAACTTATCTACTCTGTATTCCCTTTCTTTACATATAATATTACGCCAATTTCTTCCTTATTTACACTGCCCACATTTGAATAATGATTCGTCAAAGCCTATAAGTGGTATACTGAAATACGTATTTTCGTAATGTTCTTTGATGTACTTTTAAAAATAATTAAATGAATATAATAAATTTTCAACCAAAAAATTAGAGGTTGCTTACTTGGACTCTTGGGCCCGTGCTTGGCTTCTTTAGTAGTACTTACACGTCCGTCTTTCACAGAGCTAGGAGCACTAAAACAGAGAAAAAAAATTCTTTCAGAAACATTGAAAGAAATGAATAATCTAAACTTCCACGTGTATTATGTTATTCTTAAGTTTCAATTTTATTTTTAAAAAAAAATCTGATGTGTGCACCACATGACTTCCTTGTACGGAATATTAAATTATACGCATTTGTTTCTTGCATTTCTTTTAAACTTATTGGATTGAATTAAATCTACTTCGCCGACAGCCAATAAACCACAATAGAGTAAAGGCATTCTTTAAAATTAACTCTATTTGTTTAACATAGCGACACTCTGGCACTAGGTTCATTTAACAGTATTATATTTCGTTCATATTATAACTCAGAATGCACAAAATGTATATCATTTAAAGAATTATCTAATCGTTGCCACATGTTCTATTCAAATACTAATAAATAAAGCTAGAACTATGTATAAAAAAATTAAGCAAACAAAACAAAAAAGAACAGTTTTTTACAGACGATTGAGTATTTCGCATTCAATTAATTCAGTTCTCACTTCGCGAGAAGGCAAAAATACATAAAAACTCAAAATATCTATATTAAAAATTACGAAGTAAATCTTAAACACTTATTTACTCGAAAAAATTCCAGAAATATTAAGCATTATTTAATTGGCAATAATAAATGAAGGAGTTATCTTTGTTGTTGCCAAGTTAAGTTTCTCTAGATTGGCAACAAATCCACTAGTCTTATGTTTCAAATGTAAACAATCAATGGCCGCCATAAGAAAGAGACTTAGCGGCACTTAAACAACTTTAAAACTGTTGATAATTCTAAAAATATCGCATACACATTTACTAAAGGCATAAAAACCTTAACCGGAAGATAAAAAACAACATAATTCAATCATTTTTTAAAACAAAAAATGTATAATTTACAAACATATAAGAGTAAAGAAACTGAAATCACTGAGCCGGGTAACGGAGTGGATATATTTATAAACGTTTGGTGCGGCCGATTGCAACCAAAATACGAGGTGCACATCTACATGTTATAAGCAGTCCTATATACAAAATTTCAACGTTCTGAGGCTACTCGTTTTTGAGTTATGCGAGATACGTACGTACGTACGTATGTACATTCGTACATACATACATTTGTACAGACGCCACGAAAAATTCTCTTCGGAGTTAATTTTAAAACAGTTTTATAGTTTTTTTGGAAGAAAAGAGTCTTTTATTCTGTCCTTACGTACAGATATCACGCAAAAACATCGTTAAATTGCATTCGAATGCGGTCAAAGTGGATATTTTCGTTGAAATATGCTGCCTGAAGCTTTTCGCGATTGCAATACTTCCTTTTTACTTCGTACGAGGAAGTAAAAAGAAAAGAAACATTATATTTAAAAAAAATCTGAAAGCTTTCAGGTTTTGCATTAGGCCCAAAGGAGCGTTTTTCTCGTTTACACATACACACTTTTCAAAAGCATTTGGGCTGAAAATACTCAAAAACAGCATATTTTTAGAATTTCGTTTTGAAATCGTTGAGCCTTTTAACCAACAATTTTTTTAATTTATGAAATCCTTACTAATATTATTAATGCGAAAGTGAGTTTGTTATGCTTTCACGCCTTAATTATTTAACCGCTCATCATGAAATTTTCAAGAAATATTTTTGATATATTAGAATCAAAAATAATCTATAAAATGTCTTCGTAGGACTTTAATTAGCCGAGATATTAATTAAAAACTACCTTTCCCCTACATTTTTCACTTACTTTGTTGGGTTTTTCCCTATTAAAGGGATTTGGCTACGCGCCAATTTATATTTTGACAAATATCTATGGAACGGCGGTTAGATGAATTTCGAGACGCATATCCTCCGATTCCAAAAATTCATCGGAATCCATCGATACCATTTTCATCTTCGTACGACTTTAATCAGCTGAGATATTAATTAAAAACTCTGAAAACGTCAGTGGCGTAGCGAGAGGGGGGCAAGGGGGTGCATGATGCCCCGGGCGCCGCTCGTACAGGGGCGCCAAATGGTCTCCAAACAAGATTTTCCGGAAAATTTCAGCTTTTATTTTGATCGCTTTCTGGAAAATATATTTAAAATTAATAACTATTGTAATATAATTAATTATTTATTTTCTTGATTTGTGTAATAAAATGCTTGCAGTACATCAACCAAAACGTTCTTTCTTGACCTTCTTTATTTTCTCCAAAGTAGAGATATATATTTAAACGAAATGCACGTATATCTCTCGCTTTTTATTTTTAAACGATAACACGACCTTGTCCCGAATTTCTCAAATATATCCAGTTTCCAAATTCCGATTCCATAATCTGGAAATGACATTTTTTGAGATTTGTAACGCTTCCGCTACAATGGATTGCGTTTGACTCTCCTGTAAACGTCTGATGGCCTTCCTGGCTACTGATTCAACTAAGTCATCTTGCTGAGACGTCGTATATTCACTGCTACGAAGCATTCAACGCATGTGAATTGTTTTTAATCTTCTATTACAAAAAGGAATACTGCACGTCGTTCCTTACTCCTTATCTAAAACGCATAGTTTTCGACGTCACAGACTAAATTTGCATATTCCCAACTTTGTAAACGTTATAATTTTCCTTTATAATCTCTTCCATTTTCTTTTGTTCAAAATGTTATCGATTATATGGTTATTTTCATACCGAACCCACAATACACCCTAATTGTTTTGAGCAGTGAATGTAACTGCATGACGTTACTCCGTAGTAGAAAAGAAATAGAACCTAAAACTCCACTGCAGATCTATAGAGAATATGTTTTTCCAAACCTAAGAGTCGCACTTTAAATACTACTTACTATGAACGTTCGTTCAGCAAATTAAAATAAATTTTCACATATTTACAATCAACGGTGGGACAAGATCCCCTAAGTCATCTAGCATTTTTAAGTGTGGAAAGAGAAAAATTTGAAAGGATCGACTTTGATGAAGTAAATGATAAATTTGCTTCTAAATTTTCAAGGTAAGAAAAATGTATACATAATAATTAATTTTATTCATGTATTATATTATTATTAATAAAATATAAGAGCCCGACCAAGTCGAGGTGCACGTGATTGAAGCGAGATAAGGACAAATTAAAATTTTTAAGTTGGCTGGTGGTGTGTCTAATAATTTTAGATCTTTGGCACTCCAAGCATGATGGTGTCCAGTTGGCTATGTCCTTTTGCGTGCTATTCCATACGAAACTTTGCTATATCAGTTTCCTTGAAGCCTTGATGCCAGGATGTGACAGACGATGTAACTGACTAAAAATGGCATGGCGAAACACGGAGGGAACATAAGGTCGACATCTTGAATCCTGAACATCACAATAAAGTGATTTTCCAGGTGACAGCTGCATAGGCTGCAAGTTGAGATTGGTGGAAGATTTGCTTTCAAGAGGGTTTGTAGTTCTGAATCCCGGTGTTGTTCATCCGCAAGGGCAGCAAAGTTTATTGGCGAAGGAACGGCTAGTTCTTCAATACGAGACAAGATGTCTGCTACAATATTCTGCAAACCCGCAATATAACGGATATCTGTTGAAAATTGCCCTATGAAGTCTAGGTGTCTCATTTGACGAGGAGAAGCTTTATCCGAACGCTGCTGAAAAGTATAGATTAAGGGTTTGTGATCTGTGAAGATCATGAAAACGCGTCCCTATAGCATATGCCGATAATATTTGACAGCTTCATAAATTCCTAATAATTCGCGATCGTAAGTGCTGTATCTGGTTTGTGCTAGTGAGAGTTTTTTAGAAAAATATGAAAGTGGTTTCCATAATTCTTGATCTTTTTTTTTTTAAAACTGCTCCTATACCTGTCGTTGATGCGTCAACGTGTAGAGATATTAGGTTATTTTTTGGAAGCAGAAGAGATGAAAAATATGCAACGCCTTCGCCGGGAATCGAAACGCAGACCTCTGGAGTACTGGCCCAGCGTGCAGAACCACTACACCACGAAGGCACGCTAGGAAAGCGGAAGAAATACCTTATATACTCCCCTTTTTAAAGGGCGACTGGGGTTTTTAGGGGACGCAATCGCCAAATCCTGGGTGTGGAGAATCCTCATTCAACACCCCTTTTATTTCGGGCGCCACTGTAGAGACATTAGGATATTTGGAAGCAAGAGAGATTGAAAAAATAGCAATCGCCTTCGCCGGGAATCGAACCGCGGACCTCTGGAGTACCGGCCCAGCGTGCAAAACGACTACACCACGAAAGCACTCTAGGAAAGCGGGAGAAAATACCTTATAAACGTAGAGTGATAACGGTTTAGATGCGGAAGGATACTGCAAATTTATTGCCGAAATTAAATCATTTTTGCATTTTTGGAACGCTTCGCGAGATTCTGCGGTCCAGCTTATAACACGTTTATCGTTTTTCTTGATTCCAACCAAAAAAGAATTTAGAGGTGCTTGTATGGTTGTTGCATGAGGTAAGAAACGTCGATAAAATTTGAGCATAACAAGAAATCTTCTTAAGTCGTAAGTCCTTCACTGTAGATGGTTCGGGCATATCGCGGATAGCGGTGACTCTATCTGGAAGGGGTCGAATCCCATCAGAGGAAATTTCATGACCAAGAAAGGATACTCTTGACTGGCCAAAAACGCATTTGGAAGGATTAAGATTGACACCGTACCTTTGAAAACGTCCAAAAACTGTTCTCAAACGTGAAAGGTATTCTTGCTCTGAAGAGGAGGCGATTAAGACGTCATCAAAATAAGGTACACAAAAGTCGAGGCCGTTTAGCACCTGCTTCACGAAGCGTTGGAATGTTTGAGCAGCATTGCATAAGCCGAAGTCATGACCGGAAACTCAAATAGTCCAAAAGGCGTAATAACCGCAGTTTTTGGAATATCAGCTGGCTTAAAGGGCACTTTGTGATACACCTGCTCAAGATTAATGGCTGTAAAAATAGCTTTTCACTCGAAAACTTGCATACAGCCTTGAATGTGAGGGATTGGGTAACGATCAGCAATTGTAGCTGCATTTAACCGGCGATAATTGCC